GTTACATTAACTTTAAGGGAAGCTGTGTCTCAGCAATCTATGACTGGTGGACAGGGTTACAAAACATGTAACTGTAAGGCAGCTTTGAATCAATGTCAAACAAACAGATGCTCTTGTTAAAAGGCTAAAATACTATGTAACTCGCGGTGTCATCAGTCCTCTACATGCCGCAATAAATAAATAAAAAATATAATTATTATTGATAATAAAATATTTGTGTTAATTAATTTTGACATATTTTTTTTAATATTTTTGTTGAGTGACACATGCACATACAGTAGGATCATTCAATAGTGCAGTCGTCGGGAATATTGTGCACTATTCGAAGCAAGCAAAAACTAAAACATTCAGGACCGTGTCAAGAAAATTAAGGGTCCCCCACTACTAAATACCGGGCACCACTAAATGATACTAAATAATCAAATGAGCGACGGCACTGTATTTGACGTCACAGATTCCCTTCCTCTTTGCCCCCCGAAACCTCTTGTCTACTCAACTTACTAATGGCTGCACTGTTCAGAACTGCACTATTCAAAGATCCTACTGTATTCTCATTTTTCTATTTGCCGGGTGCTACTTAGGCAATTTCCTTAACGCCTAGTCAATAAGCTAAATGACTAATTGATTTCAGGCAAATAGAAAAATAACCATTTTTCACGATTCATTTATCTACTTGCCGGCATTTAGCCCAATACCTAGGCATTAAGCTAAATGCCGGATTTTTCTATTTGCCTACGACATATATACATGTAAAATCTTTCAAATTTATTTTTTACATTTCAGAATACATTATTCTATTATAAAAATTGTTCTTTTAACTTAACAAAAGTTCTCATTTTTCAAATTGGTATAATTATTGCATTAATTATACAGCAAAAGTAGGTAAATAAATCAAAACATTCGGACCATTCTTTTAACATTATTTAATATATTTATTTAATATATGTATATTTACTTGTAATTATTTAATATAGTTAATTAATAATAAATTTTGTTTCATAATATTAGTAATTTACTATACCAGTCAGTACTTATTATGAGAAGTATTTGCATTATAATTGAAATACAGTTATATTTAAATTATTATTAATTATTAATAGAATAATTTCTTACTATAATGATTATTAATAATTCTGTGGAAGAAAGGCATAACAGCATAACTGCATTTGTCATGATTTTGAGATAAATTAATTTTAATGTTCTCTCACTTCTGTCAATTCAAAAAATCAACAGATTTGTTCGGTCTTTTGCATTTAGTATTATTATTTAATATATTTTCAAAATTCTTTTATAACATTTAATAAAACACACGATTTGATATAAATTTTGATAATTTTTCATCGGAATCATGAGTTTTATTGCACTTATGCGGTTATGCAAGTTCAGATTGTATATAAGTCCAACTTCAGACACTTTTAATGTCACAATTTATTTTGGTTTGATTTGTCATAATAAAAAAATTTTTCTTACAAAGACAAATTAAACTATTAATTCGTTAGAAAAAATTATAAGAGTTTATTTAGTTATAAAATTTATTTTTTTATAAAATGTTTTTAATTTATTGAAACGAAGAAAAAATTTACTTTACTGTTCAACTTGAAGAATTTTTCAATTTATTTTTTGAAATACTTTCCAAAATTTTTTAGAATAGAAATACCCTTAAAAATTAGTACACAATTAAATGCACAATTTATGCTATAAAAAATTTGTTCCAGTTTTATTAAAATAAATATATTTAATTTAAAGTACGAAAAATGTATTTTACTAAAAACATTTTATTACAAAATTCTTATTGTTTTTATTCATAAAGGTTATTTTCATTTTTAATTATGTCAATTGTTTTTTAAACTGAATGCAGTTATGTTATTATGCTGGTCTCCTTTTGTCAAAAACGCAATTATGCGATTATGTTTTCCATTATTTTCTACATTAATAACTATTTTAATGATTTTTCAGCTATTGAACTTTGAAGAGCAATATTAAATATATATACAAATCTGATGTTATCTCAAATTTTATAAAAATGTCAGTTATGCTGTTATGCCTTTCTTCCACAGAATTTAAATTTAAAATTTATAAAAATTTCAATATTGCATTATTAATTCATTATTATTATAAATTATAATGTTAAATTAAATTAATATTAAATACTAAATTCATTTTAAATGCAGATATAATAATAATTATTATTAATCTGTATTCGTATTATAGTTTATGAAACATTCCAAATTGTAAAGTTAAGACTTAATTTATTATTGATTTAATTAATAATGTTAATTTTTATTAATTCACATAACCTATTATGACTAAATTGAAATTTAATTAATTAATAAAAATTATTTAACAGTTTATTCTGATTTATTGATAATATTGGTAATTGAATTTTACTATTTTACAGTTCCTCTTTATATAGACAGTTGAATCCAGAAATATGTAAGTCGGTTCGGTAGTCGCAGTCGTTAGGGCAGTTAGTTTAGGCACTAGGTTAGGTCATGCGTCGGGGTTCGATCCCTGTAGGGTCCAAATTTTAATTTAATTCCGGGAATTAGTTTCAAGTTGTTCCGTATGTAAACAAACTGATATTAATTAATAAAACATATTTTTTAAAATTAATTTGTTGCAACTTTTTGCATATTGTTTAAATAAATAAAACAGAAGTGGCTTAAAAATATGGTCAAAAATGAGATACAAATGGTCTCAAATAGTCACCAATTATGGGCGGGGTTAACAAAGAGGAGGGGATAGTAGCAAACTTGTGACCACTTTAAACTTCCTCCTGATCAGTTGTGATAGATTTCTGACGAGATCCATCCAGAATCGTAAGAAAACTGTATTAAAGTGGTCAGGCGGCCTGACCATTTGTCTGACCATTCCTGATTTTATTTTTAGTATTGCAATTCGATGTTTTTAGCATTCGACTAAATGACGATTCGACGTTTTGAGCATTCGACGTTTTGAACATTCGACATTTTTAGCATTCGACGTTTTTATCATTCGACGTTTTGAACATTCGACATTTTTAGCATTCGACGTTTTTATCATTCGACGAATTGAGAATTCGATGTTTTTAGCATTCGATGTTTTGGCCATTCGATGTTTTTAGCATTCGACGTTTTTATCATTCGACGTTTTGAACATTCGACGTATTGACAATTCGATGTTTTTAACATTCGACTAATTGATAATTCGACGTTTCCCAGTAAGAAACGAAAAATTGAAAAGTATTAAAAAGATTCTATTCTTTTGAATAATATAATAATATAATACTAATATTGTTGACATATAGAATGTTCAATTACTTTCAAATAACTGCACTCATGAATTTATTTGCTATTTTAAAAAGGAATAATTATTAAATTATCAGTTAAGAGGGTTAAGAGTGTTTAAAGGTCTCTGAAATTTGTAGGTTATGATTTATTGTCTAACAGAATAACGGCCCTGACTCGTTTAAATGATGTTAAATTGGTAAACAATCAATTTTTCAGCAAGTTTTTCTTTGAACACAAACACTTTTTACAAAATCTGTCACTGTATGTATCTTATAAATTACAAAAATCCAGAAGATTGCTTGAATGCATGCAGAAACGCGGTTCCAATGAAAAATTGAAAAGTGATATAATGACAGGCTGTAATAATTTCGGATGGGATTGGAAAGCATTCAGAAAAAAATTTTGTCTTTGTTAAAAATTACAAAACGAATTGAATAGCATTCATTTTTAGACGAAACGTGGTCCTATCATGGTATAGAAAAGTATTGGACAGAAATGGCATTCAAAAGTATTGGATAATTTCTACTACACCATACAGAGTTTGAATTATTTCAATCCTTTTCAATTTTTCGTTTCTTACTGGGTTTGAACATTCGTCGTATTGACGATTCGATGTTTTTAACATTCGACGAATTGATAATTCGACGTTTTGAACATTCGACGTATTGACCATTCGATGTTTTTAGCATTCGACTAAATGCCGATTCGATGTTTTTAGCATTCGACGTTTTGTCCATTCGATCTCTCTAAATCTTAATAAGTGAAATTTCACTTATTTTAAGTGAATATTCACTTATTCCATGTTTCAAAACTCTTCCACGTAGAATAAGTGAATATTCACACATGAAATAAGTGAATTATATTCACTTATGAATAAGTGAATTACATTCACTTATGAATAAGTGAATATTCAATTATGAGATAAGTGAATACTCAGACATTAAGAAGTGAATGTAAATAAATAATCAGGATCAATATTATATAAAAAAAATATTTATTTACTATCAACTATTTAACAATCTCTTCTCTTCTCATTATCAGTCTGAAACTTATAAACATATCAATTTTTCAACTTTTTTAAGCTAAATTCCCAAACGGTCACCCATCCTAATATTAACTGCAAGCAATGTCGCTTAACTTTTATGATCAACGAGAAACACTACAATGCCACTTAATAAGTTGCCTTATACTCATAGAAAATTATTGGGTGATACTTATAAAGAGTTAGTTTATTGTGTTCTACTTTAACGTTTTGTTTAAGATTCCTCTTATTATATATGTATATAAATACTTAGTAAATAAAACGTTAGTTATTAGATTACTGTTAATATAATATTTAACTGAATATTTTTTTAAAAATTTATTAAATTTTAAATGACAATTTTTATAAATAAATAAAATAAAAAATTTCTAATATATTAACCGAAATGATAAAAACATGGTTTTTAAACATTTAAAAGTAGGTATAAATAATAAATTGTAATATAATGCGCAGATGAATTTCTTTTTAACTAAATATTGTATTCCATATGGACGAGCGCGTTAATATCAGCGCGTTCATACCGACTTCGACTCTATTCTGGACTCTCCTTCAAGTCGGTTCTACAATGAGCACGGTTGTTCGTGTTCGCTATCATGAACGTGTACGTGCTCCACGCTAAACTATATGGAACGCGTACACGTTCACGACAGCGAACACGAACGACCGTGCTCATTGTAGAACCGACTTCACAAAAAAAAGTAACGGCGCAACGCGCAGCAGCCATTTTCTACAGTTGTTGCCAACATAACACAAAACCTACACCCGAGTACAACCGGTTTATTGATTATCGAGTCATGAATGTACATTTGGATATCATCACAAATATGAAAAACAGCCTCAGTGTCAAACCTCCCCCTTTATATATCTCGATCGCAGCGAAAAACACCAGAGGCTGTAACGTCCCACAGAGGTATATCATCTGTCGTGTCGTTTTGTAAATACTTTATCCGACACTTTTAAATATTATAAAATTAATTAAAACAAAGGGTAAAACGCTTGACCTTAAGGGAATAGCAAAGAAAAGACAATTATGTTTTAATAATGAGAATAATTCTTTATTCCGCGTTACAGTTTAAGATTCAAATTCTGACTACTGAGGGTAGCGCAGACCCTTCTATTTATGTACTACTTTCGACAACCTGGAACAGGCGTTTTTGAGATAAAAAGGTACAAAGTTGAGAGTGGGCGAAAGCCCAAAATGTGACTAATACATTATATCTCTTATGACGATAAGTAATAACACGAAGTACATAAATGAGTTAAAAACAATATATAGATAATATTATATTATTATATTATATCTACTTTTTGTTAGGGTCTCTGGACACCTCCCCCCTTAAAATAGTTTCCGAAATCCTACAGATGGTTCGGAAACAGGTAGACTTTTATCTGTCTCTTTATAATACACAGCAGGGAGTAAATTTAATTGTTGTGGTGGAATAACAGGTTGAACGGGAGGTTCATTATACTTAAATTTAATACATATTGAGAATGATATCCACTGTACAATTTTCCACAAGGCAGAAAAACAACCACATTGTAATAATCCATAAATTATAACAACAATTGTGCTTAAGAGACCTATATATTGCAAAGTTGTATGTCCAGTTTGAATCCATGCATGTTTGGATTGTGTCGCAAGTATGGTATCTAAATCTGATGTCATCTCGTCTAATGTCTTTGATGAATCTTTAAGGTCTTGTAAGTCTATATGTCTGCTTGAAAAAGCTGGAAGCTTCGAGGTAGATATACATTTGTTCGAGAGGATCCTCGACAGTGTGTTGATAATTCGAAAATAGAAGGACTACTTATGATAATAGTTTTCTCTGGAGAATTTGGACAAAAAATAGAAATAGTTTCTGTATGATATGGCAAAATATACCATGTGTAGCCATTGGTAAGAGCCAAAACATATGTATCTAGTAGGGAAAAATACTTCTTTTTACATTCTGTATCTGTTTTATCTCTTATCAAGTGTGAATAGCAACTAGTTTCTATGGCTAGTCGATGAATTGGGTTTGTTATTTCACAAACTCTAAGTGCATTAATGACCGTACATTTTTCTAAATCTATTAAAGTGTAATCTGTTTGCTCAAGGTTAATGGCAACAGGTTTAGTGGCTACATTTTCATATATATAATATTTTGTCCAGCTAGCTATAGGCACAGGTATAAATTTAAATGCTCGATACAATGGCTCAGTAGGAATAGGCGTACGAATAACATATGTTAATTTGTTATCTGCTATCATTATCTGAACTGTACTAAGTTGCATATACATAGAATAATAGTTCAATCCTAAAGGAAATGGAAGTGCTTTCATATTAAGTGAATTACTAATTATTTTTAAACTTTGTAAAAAATTTTGAGGTGTAACAAGTTGTGGAGAAACAACTCCGGTCTTCCCAGAATTTATAGCATCAAAAATTACATTTACTGTTTCAAATAAATCATCTAAATTAATTTCTGTTGTTGCAATACTTTCCATTAAATCAGAATTAAACGTATTTATATTTACTTTCGAACTTTCATTTCTTACAAGCTCTGTTAATCTAGTTATGTCTACATACTGTGAAGCAGTTAATTTTTCAAATTCCCCAATAGTTGTTTTGATAATCGCAGTTTGGTTTTTTAAAAGTTTGCTAATTCTCGCAGTGTTATTATAAACATTTGAAATTTCATTATTTATTAAGTTAGCATCGTCTTCCGTCAAAGTTTCGAAGATGTATCTTAATATCGACCCTCCAAGGTTAAATATTCCCCTTTTGCGTCGATGATTGTTTAAACTAACTAGAGTATCTAATCTATTTTTAATTTTATTATACCTAGTACTTAACGTACGAATTAAAATTTTATGGTTACATTCTGCAACTTTCATACATAAATTTGATAATTTGTCGATGTGACTTCCCACTTGTTTGGTCCCATCGATGACGTCGCGAAAATCTGCAAAATGGATCGTAGTCCACACTTCATGGTACAGCCTTACGTCAAATAATTGCTCCTTGAAAATAGGTGTGTTAATTGGAGTGACTTTGTAGCTTAATCCAAGACAAACTGGCAACAGTACTATAAGGATGGACAGCATCTGTAACAAAATATTTACCCATCGAAAGGTTTTGTTTCATTAATATGTCTTCTATACTCTTTATTTTTTACTTTATATGTTATAGTGTGAGTTTCAAAATTAATTTGAGTGATAATATAAGGTCCACTGTATATCTTTGCTAATGGTGTGCTTCTGAGATTTTTCACGAGAATCTTATCTCCCACTTGATAAAGAGGTGTAGGTCCTTTTCTTCTCGAAGTTACTTCCTTTTCATATTGCACTTTACTCTTAAAAAGATTTTGTCTTATTTCCTTTAACTTGTCAATATGATTTGCTTTCAGTTCTTCCAGGTATCTTGCTGCATCCTGTGATTTGAGTTGCAAGGTAGGTAAAGTAGTTTCCAAATGTGGTTTCGTCAAAAAGGTAGCTTCCAACGGTGAGAATCCTGTCCCTCTATTAGTCATGCTGTTGAATATGAATTGAACTTTTCTTAGATGTTCGTCCCAATTCTCAGGTTTGTTTTCCACTAGAATTTTTAATTTATCTTTTATCGTTGCGTGTGCTCTTTCGAGAGATCCATTGGATTGTGGATGTCCTGCTGCGATGACAATAGGTTTGACTTTTAGTGATTTCAGCAGAATGCTAACAATTTCGGATTGAAACCCTTTCGCATTGTCCATTATAACCTCGTGTGGAGCTCCATACAAATAAACATATTCTGTCAATAAAGCATTTGCAGTTTCCAATGCCTGTACACTCTTAACAGGTATCAAAGTCAAAAATTTGGTTAATTGATCCTGGACGCTTAAAATGTATTTGTTTCCTCGTTCCGATACAGGTAAAGGTCCTACATGGTCGATGGCGATTCTTTCATTTATTCGTGTAGGTGGATGAATTAACACTCCGTCTGCTGTCACATTATACTGTGCTCGCTTCGTTAATTGGCAATCTTTACATGATTTAACATAATTTTCCACGTCCTTGTGTAAGTTTACCCAATGATATCTTCTGCTAATTGCTTCTATTGTTTTTTGAATTCCTAAATGTCCATTGACAGGTCCGTGAAATGTTCTGAGTATCTCCCTTTGCTCGGCTTCATCTTTTACATCTTTTCTATCTTGAATTATAACCTCAATAATTTCGTTGTCCGTACTAAATTTTGTGTGAATATACTTAATCATTCTGATAAGCTTGAGTCGAATGTTTTCTTCTAGAAGTGACAGGTCGTGACAGGTGTTGTCTTCGGTAGAAGTCATGTGTCCTTTTAACTTCAAAAAAGCGATTTTTGGTTCCGTATCTCTGTCAATTATTATATCCTTATCTGTCCCGATAACAAAACGGAGAAATCTAGTTTTGCACACTTCCTTCACTGGACGAAGATTAGTGTATCTATATTGTGTAAGATACTCTTCAAAGTCGTCGTCTTCATTTTCTGGAACTTGCAAAGCTCGTACCTGTCGAGATAGGGCGTCGGCATTTGTGTTGAGACTTCCTTTTTTGTAATCTATATAGTAATCAAATTCTTCTAATTTTAGTCTCCATCTCATTAAGCGTGATGAAGGATCCTTTACGTTCATAAGCCATTTCAATGGCTTGTGATCCGTTAGAATTTTAAATCTTTTACCATACAGAAAGTGTCTAAAATGTTTTGTTGCCCATACAATGGCTAACAGCTCCTTTTCTGTAGTGCTGTATCGAGATTCTGCATTATTTAATGTACGTGATGCATATGCTACTGGTTTATCAAATCCATTGACCTGCTGAGACAAAACGGCTCCTAGTGCGAAATTACTGGCATCTGTAGTTACTGTAAATTCCTTGGAATGATCTGGATAAATTAGAATCGGTTCCTTGATGAGTGCATGTCTCAAATGATCAAAACTTTCCTGCTGCTTTTTGGTCCAATTAAATTCTTCTCCTTTTTTTAAAAGATTTGTAAGTGGCTTGGCAATTTTGCTATAATTTTTAATAAATCTTCTATAATATCCAGTAAGACCTAAAAATTGTTTAATTTCCTTCTGATTTGTTGGAGCTTTAAAATCTTCTATTGCATTGATTTTATTTTTATTCGGTTTTATTCCGTCCTTTGTGATTATGAGACCTAAATATTCCAATTCCGGTCGCAAATATTCACATTTATCGGGTTGTAACTTAATACCGAATTCCCGTAATCTCTCTAACAATGTTCTTAAATTGTTATTGTGATCTTCTAGAGTCCTTCCGAATATTATAACGTCATCTAGATAAACATAGCATATATTACCTACTAGTCCTCGCAGTACAAAATTCATTGCTCGTTGAAATGTTGCTGGAGCATTCTTCAATCCCATTGGCATCCTATTGAAATGGAAATGTCCATCTGGCGTAGAAAAAGCAGTCTTCTCTTTTGATTTCTCATCCAGGGCAATTTGGTAAAATCCGGAAGACAAATCAAAAGCACTGTAATAATGCATTCCTCCGATGCTCTCCATGATCTCTTCAGTGTTCGGCAAAGGATAACTGTCTTGAGGTGTGTGCTCATTAAGTTTCCTATAATCCACAACGATTCTCCATTTTTGAATTCCCGATGCATCCTTCTTCTTTGGAACCAACCACAATGGAGTTCTGTAGGGACTATTTGATTCTTGTATAATTCCTTTCCGTCGCATTTCCCTTGTTTGTTTTTTAATTTCGTCTTGATGAATTGGTGGATACCTGTATTGTTTGGTATGTATAGGGATGGCAGTGTCAAGATGAATGTCGTGTGTAATTCCGTTTATCAAAGGTAAATCGTCGCCTGGCAAGTCGTAAACATCCGTAAATTCTTTTATGATTTCTTTAATTGTATCACTTTCCATTTTCTTTAAGTGATCTAATCGCGTGTTAGAAAAGAGTAATTCTCTTCTTTGTAAAATGTCAACAGTTTTGAGAGTACGAATTTTAACACTTTCCGGTAATTCTAGTAATTTAATAGGCCTAACATTCATATCAGACTGATAAATGTACTGATAGTCCATAGTAGGATTATAGTGGTAAATTTTATCTTTCTGTTTCCCGGAAATGATCCCTGGACTAATATCCTTCCCTTCTAATAAGCATGGTTGAGAGTATTCCTTATCTAACGTAATATAAAAAACTTTTGCCGTAAGGGGAGGTATTATTGTGGGAGTCTCATTTAATTTAAAAATTTCATCACTAAGTGTAATAGTTCTATCTTTTATATTGTTAATGGCATTGTGATTTGCCATAACATCAATACCTAAAATTCCATCATATTCTATGGGGAAATTATCTCTTGCTACTAAATACGTATCCTCTTTGTCTAAAATTTTTAATTTACACGTACCTAGCATATTGATCCTACTATTTCCCATAATAACGTCTCGTGATTTATCCTTTATAGGCTTGCAGGTTGAAAAATCGAGAGCATCCTTCTTAATGATACTAGCTTCCGCTCCTGAATCAATTAAAAGTCGAATAGTTCTTCGGGTTCCTGTTGGTCGGATGTAGAGTATTTGCTCAGTGAGTCCGCATCGTCTGATTCGTACGGATCGGATGTTGTTGCTTCTTCGGTATTCCTTATCGGAGGGGCGTAGCTGTTCCGGCCTTCCTGAAAATTTGGCTTCCAATTCTTCTTCCAGCATTTTGACTCGGGATGACCTTTGAGATGACAGAAAGAGCATGACTGGTCCCTTATCTCATGCGATTGGTTCGATTTTTCCTTTTCTCGACTCTGTACCTTATCACGTGTAGAAGAGTTGAAATTTTTATTTTCGGAACGATGAAAACTTGATTTACTCGAATCAACTCGCCTATCAAAAGAAACTTGAGCCATTTTCCTACAAAGTTCTCTTTCCCGGATTGTGCTTTCGGAATTTAAAGCTAAAGCCATTGCTTCTTTCAGAGTGCGTGGCCCTTGCTGCTCTACTCTCTTACTTATCTTATCTATGAGTCCTACAGTAAACCTCCAAACTCCTTCTTCTTCTTCAGCTTCTAATGCATATTTTGCCCTAACAGCATCTGACTTCTGTCCTGCTGATTTCATAACCTTTCTATGCAAATCTAAAAATCTTTTAGAATACGCGGACACTGATTCATTATGCCTCTGCACAATTTTATTTCTTTGTTCTTTAACATATGTGTACGGTAAATCTTGAATATCATAATAATTTAATAATAAATCTTTTATTTCTTCCCAACTATCGGCTTCCTGAGAACAAATCAAATCTTTAGCCGGATCCGTTACACGACTAGCTAAAACCATGCGTAAAACACATTTTTTATCTATCCACTAATACATTTGGGAAAGCGCGTCCTCGACTTCTCGTACAAAAATTCGCACATTTCCCGATCCGGCAAAGAAAGAAACCCAAGAAATTACATCCTTTGGTTTTAAAAAATGTTGTTCTTCTTCCGGTGGCGCCGATGCTTGCGGTGATTTCAAAGATTTAAGCAATGCTTGTTTTCTTTCAATTTCATCCTCTAAAACCTTTATATCTTCTTCACGAAATTCTGTTTTCATCTTATCAGTTTTTACTTCAAATTTCGAATCTTTATTTTCTTCAACTTCTTTCTTAATTCCAAAAAGATTATCGAGAGATTGTTTAAAAGATACCGGTTTAGGATCCATTATAAATAATGAATTATTGAATTTCAAAAGCGTTTAATGGAAAAATTCTTTTTTTTTCTTTTTCGGTGTAATGCTTTAAATGTTTTAAAAGCACTCACCTTGTTTTACTATGGCTTTTATTGCTTTTCTATCAACTGCTAGTCAGATTCCCCTCAGCCTTGAGTTGCTCGTCCTTCTGTCCAGAAGAGGCTTGGTCCTGGTTTCTACTTGGACGTCGTCTTGTTGAACTCCTCGTTGAAAACTTTCTAATTTTCTTCAAAGCGTACCCCACACTTAGCACCAATTTTATGTCGTGTCGTTTTGTAAATACTTTATCCGACACTTTTAAATATTACAAAATTAATTAAAACAAAGGGTAAAACGCTTGACCTTAAGGGAATAGCAAAGAAAAGACAATTATGTTTTAATAATGAGAATAATTCTTTATTCCGCGTTACAGTTTAAGATTCAAATTCTGACTACTGAGGGTAGCGCAGACCCTTCTATTTATGTACTACTTTCGACAACCCGGAACAGGCGTTTTTGAGATAAAAAGGTACAAAGTTGAGAGTGGGCGAAAGCCCAAAATGTGACTAATACATTATATCTCTTATGACGATAAGTAATAACACGAAGTACATAAATGAGTTAAAAACAATATATAGATAATATTATATTATTATATTATATCTACTTTTTGTTAGGGTCTCTCGACAATCGGTTAATAATCGTTAATAATAACATATATGGGTGATTAAAATTAAAATGTCATTTTCATGTCCTGCCCGAAAATCTAGAATACTATTTCATATATAAAAGTTATTAAGTCAATTAATTTTCTTAATCACTCCTTCTACTTAAATTAATAATTTATTAAGCGTTAATAGTATTGGTGATATGTATAGCTTCTTAAAGAAAAAACATTACAACATTCTATCACATCTATAACTTGTACGGTTGGTGGCAGAAAGCAAGTAGCGCTTTGTCGAGTACACCATGTCAGTGGTGTCCCCATCAAAAAATTGTGCTTATTATTAATATTTTTTAAATATTATTGTATCTCATTTTCAGCTATTAGGGGAGAGTGGGGCAAGACGGGGTACCGGCCCCATATTTAACAAACGAATTAACCAATCGCGATTATATTTTACATAATACTGCACCGAGACGATAGTTTCTTGTTTATAAAACCTAAACGCCATGAGAACAAATCTTTTATCTGTTTTACTAAAAAAACTGTTTTCGACGATTTTCTTGTCATTTTTTCACTTTTTAGATTCTCATCAAAAATGAGAAAGTCTTGGATTTGTGCGATTTTGAGCAATGTCTAATTTTGCTAAATCTTTACGTTTCATGACCCCCTGATTCCAAAAAAATGGTTTTTAGAAAAGTGTCTGTCCGTCTGTCTGTCTGTCTGTCTGTCTGTCTGTCTGCCCAGGTGCGAATTTAGGTTGGCCGCCAGAGTTTGAAGGTTGGCCCAAGGTTGGCCTAACTTTGGCAAGCAAAGTTTTGGTTGCCAGAGTTTGCCCAACTTTGGCAAGTACTTGTGCCCACAGTTGGCCCGACTTTGCAAGCCAACCATTAAATGCAGAGTTTAACCAACCGTCGGGCCAACTTTGGCGACAAAGGTTGGCACAACTTATCCAAACGTAGTTTAAAAGACTTTCAGTTTCGGTTGGCCGAACTCTGGGCCACGGTTGGTCCAACGGTTGGCAAAACTATGTGAAACACAGTTTAATTGACTTACATTATTTTGGTTGGCCGAACTCTGGGCCACGGTTGGCCCGACGGTTGGCAAAACTATGTGAAACGCAGTTTAATTGACTTGATTTTTCTTGGTTGGCCGAACTCTGGGCAACGGTTGGCCCAACGGTTGGCAAAACTCTAGAAACGCAGTTTAAATGACTTAAACTTTCTTGGTTGGCCGAACTCTAGGCCACGGTTGGCCCAACGGTTGGCAAAACTATGTGAAACGCAGTTTAATTGACTTAAACTTTCTTGGTTGGCCGAACTCTGGGCCACGGTTGGCAAAACTCTGTGAAACGCAGTTTAATTGACTTGATTTTTCTTGGTTGGCCGAACTCTGGGCAACGGTTGGCCCAACGGTTGGCAAAACTCTAGAAACGCAGTTTAAATAACTTAAACTTTCTTGGTTGGCCGAACTCTGGGCCACGGTTGGCCCAACGGTTGGCAAAACTATGTGAAACACAGTTTAATTGACTTAAACTTTCTTGGTTGGCCGAACTTTGGGCCACGGTTGGCCCGACGGTGGGCAAAACTTTGTGAAACACAGTTTAATTGACTTAAACTTTCTTGGTTGTCCGAACTCTGGGCCACGGTTGGCCCAACGGTTGGCAAAACTCTAGAAACGCAGTTTAAATGACTTAAACTTTCTTGGTTGGCCGAACTCTGGGCCACGGTTGGCCCAACGGTTGGCAAAACTATGTGAAACGCAGTTTAATTGACTTGATTTTTCTTGGTTGGCCGAACTCTGGGCCACGGTTGGCCCAACGGTTGGCAAAACTTTGTCAAATGCGGTTTAAATGACTTAAACTTTCTTGGTTGGCCGAACTCTGGGCCACGGTTGGCCCGACTGTTGCAGCTTAAATATACATTTTGCGTTATGCACTCCCATGTGAGCGTAGCGTAGTGGTCAGTGTATAAGTCTTCGGTGCGTTAGGTTAGGGGTTCGATCCCAGCGAGCGATAGATATTTTCGAAAATGTATGTATGAGATTGTGTTTAATAATAATAGGTAAAGGTTATATCTGATGTTCCCGCTAATAATGACGTGTTAATTGTTTAAATAATGTAGTTTTTTAATAATTTTTTACCTTTGGCTGTTGAAGTTGGCCAAACTTTGAAAATTGTGGTTGGCCCAACTTACGCATCTAAAGTTGTGCCAACTTTGGCGTCAGTCTTTGGACCAACCATTGAAATGTATAGTTGGCACAACATATGCATTGTAAGTTGGGCCAACTTCGTTATGAGTTGTCGGGCCAACCATCGTCGCCATTAGACGGTCGCCGTTATCATCTGTATGGTTGGCCCAACCTCTGGCACGAGAAGTTGGACCGACTTTGTAAAAGTTGGCCCAACTATGGGCCGACCAAAAAATCGCACCTGGGTGTCTGTCTGTCTGTCTGTAGAAAATTTTGTCGTCACGATAACTCGAGTAAATTTTTATGAATCGATTTGCAATTTGGGGGACTTTTTTAGTACATAAAAATGAAGCCTGAGTTCGTTGGACAGCTCATTTCGTCAAAAAACTACAAAAATACAAAACTTTTAAATTTTCAAAATTTTGTATTTTTTACAATTTTCAAAAAAATATTTTTTTCTAATTTTTTTCTTAAAATATGAACAAAAACAAACAACTTTTCCTTTAGACACTTTTTTGTATAACAAAAAACAAAAAAGTTATGAATTTTTTTTTTTTTTTTTTTAAGTTTTTGGGCCAGGTTTATTTTTTAAATTTTTGGGCAGGTTTAGCTAAACGGTTTATCTAGAACTAAAAAATTTTATTTTCAAATAAAAATTTTTTTACATTTTCATCACATGAGAAAGTATTAGTTTTGGTCGAAAATTAACTTTCGCTAATTTCATGAAATCTCGACGTTTTAGGGTCAATTTGAGATTCTTGATTCATACTTACTGTATTGATAAAAATTACAAAATATTTCCCATGTACCCCTAGGGCGTGTTGGCTAATGCAACACGCTATGCATAAAGAGCAACCTACGAAGCGTACGTTCTTGTAGAAAAAAAGTAAGACCCAGTAAACAAAAACTAATTGAAATAAATTAAAAAGAATTCGCAAAGAGCTTCAGTGAATCCTGCTTTGTGACAAATACGAATTGGAACTATGTTGCAATTTTCCTGAATTCGTCAACCTGTATTGAAAACCCAAATCTTTTATTCTTACTAATTCAATGGACAAAATTTGGGGCCTTTAATTTTTTTTAATTCGCCAGCACGAATTCAAGGCATGCCTTGGTCATTTCTTTTGAATGCGAATTCGTTTGCACAAATTCAGGCAATTTGAATCGAATTCAATTGAATATACAAAAAGCTTGAATGAATCCCGCTTTTGACCAAAAATCTTAATTCATTTTAATCCGTTTGAGTTAGTTTTTTTACTGGGGAGTAATATAGGGACGTTCGTTTTTTAAAAGAAAGCTGAGATACCAGAGTAACTTTTTTTAGGAGATAAACACTTAATTAAAACAAAAATGTCCGAGTAAATCAACAAAGAGTGATAAGTTAGCCATTACGCTCCGGTCTACACTACACAAAAAACTTGATACTAATAATTTATGAATATTTTAGCTGCTTCTGTAAATCATGTTTCTGCTAAGAGAGTTAGTATAATTAAAAATAACTTCACAATTTTAATCATCAAGACCAAAAATATACATTTAAATCCATTTAATTTCGGAATCATCAGCAAACAAAAAGATGTGATGAGAATGTAATCCTTAAAGTCGTAGTAACTTTAAGGAAAAAAAAATGTTTTATGAAACATATAGAAGGAAACAAGAACACAAATAATGCACAATAATTGCAGACCACCGCGAGCGAAGCGCGCAACAACACACGGAGCGCGTAGCGCGACGTGCAAAATAGTCGTCAGAGCGCGAAGCGCGGATGAGAATGTGTCCGCGCTTGCGCGGACAGATTTTTTTAGGAGGCGTTTATTATTTAATAATAACAGTTAATGAACTGTATAAATTTTTTTCTAACTGGCAAGGGTTACAGAAGAAGGGAAGCATATGTTTTTTTTTGTTGAATCGTAAATTGTAGTAATTAACCTTTTTCTTCAATTTCGTAGGTGGGAGCAAGATGGGGTTGGAGATAGAGTGGGGCAAGACGGGGTACACAAATTAAGCAAAAGAAAAGAGAAATAAGAGAAGTTAAGAAAACTACTTAAATCAAGACTGAATAAAATAAAAGTGGCCAAAAAGAAAAAAGTTTGTCAGGTTAAATCATCAATTACACGGAAAGAAAAAGTCCGTCAATCATTAATAGACTAGTATATTACTTTGAGACGGGACACAAAATCATTGAATGGATAACATTCTTTGAGTCACAATCAATGACGAGTTGCTTGCTAAAATTTAGAAAACTGTCATCAATATATAAAACTCGTTCACTAAAATTTAGAAAACTGTCTATTAAATTTCTTATGACTATCAAAAGTATTCAAAAAATTCAACTTCTTTCAGAATTATCCCTAATTTTAGACACTATTTGGTACAGAACGAACACATTTTTTTCGTTGCACAGTTCCGATATTTTATTTACACTCTTAGACGCTTTAGACCAACACATTTTCGCATTTTAACGCAAGTAATATAAACCCAAGACTTACATATATATTCGCATACTTAATAACTACACGTAGAAACGCACACTTATAACACTTTAAGTTTAGAAGCGAACTGTTCTTATATACCAAATAACAAAATTTTTCACAACTTGTGAGAAATGATTTTGCACTAATAACTACTTTTTAATTAGCGTGAAATATAAAAGAAAATATATTTTCATCGAGGTCAATTTCTAGACGCAATTCAACTGCAAATTATTAGTTAAGTTAAATATTCACATTACACATAATAGTATATAGGGATATGTATAGCAGACAGCAAAAACACATGGACTATAGAGAAACCAGAGGAAATGCGCATCGGTA